ACCTTGGTATATTTGCCCTGTTCGTTTAAGCTTATTCAGTCACGGAACAGTGTTTTCTTTCACAACATTTCAGCACAACATAAGCCAAATTTTAGCATCAGCGAACATGGTGATTATTAATAATATTTTAAAGCACTAATAGCAGTTTCCTGTACCGAGTGGTAAGGCGTTTCTATCATGGAAAGGACTTGCACGAGGATCAAAGAAATGACGAACGCTCACCTGTTCGCTTGCTCGTAAACGATCGTAAATTTTCAGCCGGGAACAGTGTTTTTCTCTCACACCAAACCAGCCAACAGTAAATAATCCACGATACGATACGGCCTCCCGAACACGCTGAAAAAATCTCTTTGCCCCGTCGTCAGGCTGATCGTGCGATATGCCTTGTGCTCTGATTGTTGTCGGCGTCGTCTTCTTTTGCGATATCTCATTTACTTTCAGGTAAATCGATCCGTAGAAGTGATGATATGTATCTCTTGACGTAGCACTTCTTTATTTGATTGACCTATACTAGTATAAACTACCTTCAGGTAGATCCGTAGAAGTGATATATCTCTATACTGAACTGCTACTAGTACGTACTCTGCGCGAGAATTAATTACGAGTGTTTCTCTCTGCTTCGCCGTTTCTACTGAGAGAATGCATGACGAGCTAGCAAATCCGGGCCGGGTATACAATTGGGTCGATCCGTTGTGAAAAGTTATGTCCATAAGTTAGGTATTGTTTTTTTGATAATGAAAATTGTTCCGGCTTCAATCTTATCAAAGGTAAGGCATCGGTCTAAATTATTACAAAGTGATAGCCACAGCTATAAACTCACTCTAGAAACATTATGAGAGAGTTTGACATTATTGACCAATGCTAAAAAACAACGGCCATCCATGAGAGAGAGAAAAAAATGCATAGCTACTGACTCCAAAGTGTTCCGTGATCCATAATAGTAGCACCCTTTTTGTTGAGAGAGAACTATTTCCGTGATCCATAAGGCCTTCTGCCCCTAGCACGCTATAGTGAAGGGCGTGGGCTTCTCCAAAAACAGCGAAGTTGGTGGCTTTGGCTTCTATCCAAAACAGCTTTGGCTTTCACCATTTTTTGCTTTGACTTTAGCTTCAAAAGCCCTTCTTGTATTTGCTTGTTGGTAGAGCTTTTAATTAAATTTGGTGGAGAAGCCACAACAGAAACAATGCCAAAGAAACGAGGCTTTAGAGTCTCCTCCTCTCTCCCAGGACAATCTGCAAGGACCTAAGCCATTTCTCTCGATGCTACAGTGTGCTACAATTCCGCACGGTAGCCCAAGAGTTGGTGCCAAATTAAAGCAAGGTGAAGCCTCACCAAATAATCCCCAAATTAATACTCTCTCTGTTCCAAAGTACGAGACATTTTGGCTTTTCTAGATACATAGCTTTTGTTTACGTAGTAAAAATAATGTATCTAGAAAAACCAAAATGTCTTATAATTTGGAATAAAGGGAGTATGATGTAATTTGTCTACAGCTAAATAGAAATCCGTTAGGAAAAAAAATCTATGCATGTGTAATGCAGATTAACCCATTCAACACTCCTTATGCCCTCTTTAGTAGGGCTTTTGTTGAGACTTGCAAATCGTCTTGATCAAAAGCTATGCTAAACATGTACATGCGAAAACAGCTTGAAAGCCAAAATAAAGAAAAAAACGATGAAGTTTTCTATGGTTTTACCGTTTACGGAGAAACCGAAACTCCACCAAAGAAAGTCTTAGGGTCTATTTGTTTGAGTTGCAAGCCTGCAACTTTTGGTCCTTTAGCTCAACACCTGCCTTTGTGGGTTTGTTTTTCTATTGACTTTGTAATAAGTTTTTAGTTTCTCAGCACATCGAAATTCACAAAAGCATGTCCCAACATGCTTTTTAGCTTTTAGTCTATTTTCTTAGAAGTAAGCCTTTTAACTTTTTAAAAGCCAGTTTAATATCTGGACTATTTGTTTTAACTTCTGACTTCTAGCTCATAGACGTCAGCAAAATTTTTTAAACAAACAGGCCCTTAGTTTTTTTTTTTTTTTGCGATTATTAAACATGCCCTTAGTTGCCGTGCACATCAATGCTCCAGCTCCGCTGTTCGGCGCAGCGCCACAGCCGTGGTTCGCTGGGCCGCCCGTTTTTTTCTGCACAGCACAAGCCCATCTACGTACGCACAGCACAAGGGGCGCTACACGGAGGCTGATCAACAACATCAGGCATGCATTTCTTCCGCCCGTGAGAGGGCCATTAACAGAGCTCGCAAGCAGCCCGTGAGAGTTCGTTTAATGGCCCATAAAAGGTGCTGGGCTGTAAGGTCCATTTATGAATTTCTGTGCCGCTTTGCTCGATGCAGAGCTCTCCCTTTTTTGAAGCAAAAAAATAAAATAACAACGGGAAGAACTGCTGAACACGACGGTGTGGCGGTGGCAGCCGAGATGGGCAACATCATTCTCACCACGACGTCCTGTTCTTCGTGGCTCGCACAACCTTCAGAGGAACGAGCGTTTCGTCCATCCAGATTCCAGACACGCCCGGGGAAATAGGAGAAGGGCCGGGACAGACAGACCGCGGAGACGCCGAGGCCGGACACCGGAGGGGCGTCGCCACCGCTCCCGGATCGAATCGAAGCTAAAAAAACAATCTTTGCCTGAATTTGTCTGTGCGGTTTAGAGCCCTCGCGCCTCCTATCTTTGCTCCCGAGCTCACGCCCTGTCCTTTAAAGAGCATCCGTCTCGCTCCCGAGACGTCAACCCCTGCTTCTTCCTTCCTTCCCCGAATCGCGAGCGAGCGAGCGCCCGTTTGCTCATCGGTTCGGTTGTTGCCTGCCGGCCGGGAACCGCCAGCACGAACAGCGGCTAGCGTCGGTTCCAGGCCAGAGTCTTGGCAGGTGCAAGCGCAGAGCTCGATCGCCATGTCTTTCACCGGCACGCAGGACAAGTGCAAAACCTGCGACAAGACGGTCCACTTCATCGACCTCCTCACCGCCGACGGCGTCTCGTACCACAAGACATGCTTCAAGTGCAGCCACTGCAAGGGCACCCTCTCGGTACGAATGCATGGCCTCTGCTCAACTCCTGATCATGCGCATTCGCCTTCTTGTGATGTGCGGCAATGCGCTGCTCATTTCCGTCGAAAGAAATGAAGCTTTGCTTTATTGGTTTATTAGATTGATCTCGACAGATGAAAATGTAGAAATGTTGGCTCATTTTCATTTCTGCATGCGTTCTCCTCTAGATTAGCAGCTACTCTTCCATGGACGGTGTCCTGTACTGCAAGACGCACTTTGAACAGCTCTTCAAGGAGTCAGGGACCTTCTCCAAGAAATTTCAAGGTAATCTACGGCTGAGTGCTGTGCTTGAGTGCTTCTATGTTTCTGAACCCGTCCAGAGCGCATCAACTTGCCTATGCTGTAACGCTGAACTCTGGTTCTGATGCAATGCAATTCTGACCCTTTCGTTGTGTTACTCAGGTGGAGCATCTTCAACCAAGAACGACCAGGTACGGTTCCCCAAATCTTCTAAACAGATGATTCCAATCTGACAAGTTCTCAAACTTTATTGGTCCTGTCATCATCAGTAATAGTTGAGTATTTTATGCATGATGCCAATTCGAAAACCTCTGCAGGCAAAGGCTCCGAGCAAGCTATCATCTGCATTCTCTGGAACTCAAGATAAATGCGCAGCCTGCCAGAAAACCGTGTATCCATTGGAGAAGGTACAGAAATGCTGTTCTGTAACTCTGGCAAACAGTAGCACACAATTATCTGACCAAATCAATCACCACCACTAATGCTAATGTTGGTACGCGTGATCTTGTTATTCAGATGACGTTGGAAGGCGAGTCGTACCACAAGAGCTGCTTCAAGTGCTCGCACGGGGGCTGCATACTGACCACCTCCTCCTACGCCGCGCTCAACGGGATCCTCTACTGCAAGATCCATTTCTCGCAGCTGTTCAAGGAGAAGGGCAGCTACAACCACCTCATCCAGACGGCGCAGACCAAGAAGAACGAGGCTGCAGAGGCCGCGCTGGAGGCACCGGCGGATGCAGGCGCGGCTGAGCCGGAAGCACCCGCGCAGTCGGCGTAGAACAAAGATTAGCAGCAAACGCAAAGAAAAATAGAGACGTGTCTTATCTCCTATATATACGAACCCTGCATTCAGTAAGTAGTTGTCACAAATATATTTTCTTGTTATGTTTACCTTGTTCTGCCTCTAACTGCAGCTTGGTTTTAATTGGTCAGTATGGGATTGTAACACGTGCATGTTGAATTGCTTATTCTGTATTATGAGGCTCTGGATTCATGACGATGAAACGAGAAATATGGGTGTTAACATTTTGCTTCATTCCTACTGCATTTGCTTTTCCAACCCATGAAGTTTTCCTTGACATCGCATGAAAAGCGAAGGATGCAAGCAGCGATGGAGCTTTGAGGTTAAATTAAGAGAGGCCAACACTAGAATACTTCATTAGACCACACAATGAGCATATAAATTTCCATTATTTAACAATCATGAAAACCATTTTCTTGATGACAATAAAAAATCACATTACATTATGTTAATACTTATGGCAAACAATTATGTAAGCCGGTACTTCATATAAGCTGAACAATAGCTAAGGAAGTATTTCAACTAAACACATGTAGGACGACTGAAAAATGTCTATAACAATTGCATAGAAATTACATAATACTTGTATGAGTATTGCTTTACAAAATAGACAAATAAGAGTGAAGGCAAATCTAAGTAATTTTTATAACTAGCTATAGCTATATGCCGCACATTCATCCACGAACTTCTACTACTCTTATTTTTTATTAAAAAAAGTACTTACATACATACCTTAAATTGCTAAATACAATTATTATACACAATAACATACACAAGTGTAAGATCAATTCCGAAGGAAAGGTAAACTTGCAAGGAATTGTAGCACGGCACCAACAGTAGTATCCTCTTTTGGTTTCGTAGAATTTTCTGCCTGCATTATAATGGTGAGAGCATATTACACGAATGGCGCGACCTCGGTGAGGTCCAAGAACGCGCCAGTGACGCCTCCCTTGGGTGCCATCGCCATCATGAGAGCTCCCCGTGCGCCCTCCTCGACCGTCAGATGCCCAACCTGGAAGTTCATGTCCGTCTCGACGTAGCCAGGATGCACGCAGTTGATGCACAGCGACGGGTGCTCCTTCGCAAGGATCCGGGAATAGGCATTCGCGAGAGCCTTGGACGCTTTGTACGCAATGAACCCTCCTTCCTTAGGCCAACCTCGAGCCTCCAGTTGGCCATCCTTGAAGTCCTTGAGGAACAATTCTGACAACTCGTCCACTCTTTGTTCAGACAAGCTGTCGATATTGTTGAGCTCCTCTTTAAGTTCATCTCTACTGAAAAACTGGAGCAGGATGGAACTGTTATTGGTTTGGAGAATTGTAGTGTTCTGAACTATTTTTCTTTTGCATATACAAATATTGCACTTGATTCTATTTTGAAGGATGACATGTAAGATAATAACAATATGCCATTTACCCTGAGTAGTCCATAGTAAGATGACATGTTAACAATCCTTCCATGGGATGAGGACTGCAGAAGAGGAAGCAATGCTTTTGTGACAGCTTTGATCCCATGGTAGTTGGTCCTCAAGCACTTCTCTGCTTCCTCATAAGGTTCCGTGATGTGCTTATTGATTGTTTGGATCCTCTCCATGAGATCGTCTATGCCTGCGAGCTGTTTGCACACAACAAAATATATTTGTCTCTTTTACTGCTGGAACTTTTTTCTAATACATAAACTTTCTGATTGCATGTTGAGAAGTTTTTTTTTTAAATTGTCGGGGGGGGAGTATTGATGGTACATTTACATATGAACTGCTCCTGAAGTTACTGGTTAGCGAACCTTTTGACGAAAAGTTTCTAGGTCGCCGACGTTACTTGTCGTTCCAGTAATTCCTGCATTATTGACCTGCAAAAGCATAAATCGATCGACAACCATCAGTAAAGAATGCTGAAGTCACAACACGAATCCGTAGCTACTGAAAAATCACTCGCATCTTTATCACAAGCTATATATACATTATTACACATGTATGAACTAGACATATAGGAGTATTGCAGTACGAAGAAGGGGAAATCATACGTCCATACCAATATATCCAGCTTGCCAAACTTCTCCTTGATAAAATCAGCTAAGCGTGCAGCGCTTGACGGATCGCTGACCTCCAGCTGATGAAATACAACGTTGGATAGCCCAAGCGTGCTAACTGCTTCGGCGCCCCTCTTCCCATCCCTTGCTGTCAATACTACAGTGACTCCATTGGAAGCCAGTTGTCTGCATATTTCTAGCCCAATCCCTCTGTTCCCTCCTGTAACCACAGCGATCCTGGTAACAAAGAAAAAATTGACATTAACATCACAAATTTCCTGTCAAAAATTACATATGATACTCGAGAAGAGAAAATCATGACTGAGATAAGCCTGTTTTAAAGCTATCAACAAAGCACTCTTGTTTGTTCTTATGCATTAGACATTGCTTATAGTACTACTGCAGTACTGCTGCCAAAGAGAGTTGATGCTCACTCAGATTGGTTGCCTGTGTTTCCTTCCATATGAAAAGCTAATTCTTGAGCAATATGGAGTAAAAGGTCACGTGTGTAGAGAGGAGATTGGAGACACTTAAGTTGGGCACTGAGATTGGATGATCCACTCCACATTTATACCGCCGGCGGTTCGTGCTTCGAGGCTCTGCTTTTCTTGGTGAGGTCACCCCTCTCGTCACTGGTTGCTTTCCGCTGTACATCTTTTCCGTGACCATCTGAAGAAAAAAAGGTTCCCGTGGAACAATAGCAGGGAGGCTGGGAGGGGAGGGGACGCCACCGCATTCGTCACAAGCTCGGCTCATTAAACTAACGAGCTAGAAGCCTGACTCGCCTCTCGTCACTAGCTGTACAACTTTTCCGTGACCATCTGAAGAAAAAAAGGTTCCCGTGGAACAATAGCAGGGAGGGGACGCCACCGCATTCGTCACACGAAAGGTTGCTCATTGGTCATTGCTCTCAATCTTGTGCTAGATGCTAGAGCCAGACGCCTGGTATGTTTGTTGGTTTGTCAGGCTTCTACTATCCGAGAGTTTTTAAAAATAAGAGTAAATTATTACATTAGCGGTCTCCAAAATATTATTATTTTCATCCGAGTCTAAATTATGAAACTGCATATCTAGAACTCTAAACTACTTAAGTACCCCAATACCTATTCAAAGTAGCATGGCATAGTCTATTAGTTGACGTGATGCTCTAGCACGAAACAGACATGTGGGTCGACAATAATAATTAAACGGACAGTCCCTAAACCGACGTGTGGTACTATATTGTGTAAGGGGAACCAAAACAAGAGAAATCAAACTATATAAGTGCAACTATTAATGTTATGGTTGCATGTGGCAACTATTTATAGTGTAATTTCTCTCTTTTTTGTTTCCCCCCTGTATAAGTCTGTGATAAAAAATTGCATGCTCATTCATGTATATTTTTCTTTGATGCTTTTGTCATGTGGATATTGCTTAGAAAGCACCTTTAACCGCTTTGTGTTGAAAGAAAAATGAAACATTATTATGTATCACCCTAGGACACAGAGAGATAAGGTGAGATGATCAAGGACCTAGCAAGGCGATTAGAGTGGGGTAATGGGAGCCTAATCCCGGTGTACCAACACCGCCCAACCAAGCGCTTAAAACACCAAAAACTCTGAGGAGAGTACACACGCCAACTGAGAGAGACCCGAGGACACAACGGAACAACCACAACATGCAAACGGAGACCAAAACAAGCAAAATTGGAAACCAACAAAAAACAGGCCCGATGCAGTTTGCATATCAGCCTAAGCCAGTTTGTTTCAGCCCACGAAGGTGAAAAAGTCAAAAGCCAATCAAATGATTTCAAACAGACTTGAAACTTGGTGGAGGAGTTTAGAACACCAAGGAGAAGATCTTCATAAAAAATCAGCTCAATCGGAGCAACTTGAAAAACCAACTTGAGCCGGTTTACACAGATTTTAACAGAACTCTCTCCAAGAAAAATTTGAAATAAATTCAAATGAGCTCCGAAAAATCTAAAATTTTGCAAAGAGGTTCCCTAGGATGAATAGAAGCTATACCCCCAAAGATCATCACCCAAAATTCAAGGAATCCACTCAGATCCGAAAACTCCAAAGAAATGAGGGTTTTCTCAAGTTTTTCCACCAAATGGCGGATCTCCGCGCTCGTGAGGAATCTGCCCAAATCACTTGGTAAACATGTTTCTCAGATGTCCTAGAACAAATCCATCCACTCAAATCACCCTCAAACACGCATTAAATCAAAATCCATCAAAAGCACAAGAGTGTTCGGGAAGGAGAAAAACCAAATCCATAACAAGAACAAGACTTGAACTCAGATCTCAGAGGAATGATTGCTTTATTTTCAAGATTAACAAGGTCTGGTTCTTACGAAGGAAAGATTACACATACAGAGGAATGATTCTCTCGACTGCAGATCTCAACACAACGAAAACTACAACTAGCTATGGCTTAGGAAAATAACCTAGATGCAGGAAAGCTAAACTGGAAGAGATGGGCTGGTTTAGGCAACATCTCCTCTTATATTTACAGAGCTATTACACAATCCCAAATTGTCCCTTAGATTTTTTGTATGAACCATTTAGCCCTAGGAGCAAAATGGTCCAAGTGGAGATCCGGGCATCTGACGACCATGAGCTCTTCATGAATTTACTTTGGATCGACGCAAGCTTCACGATGATGCCACATGCCACCCCGAAGTCCATCCTAATTAAACTTCATCCTAGGTTTTGAGGCCCAAACCCCAAACCGTCCACAAGTGGTTTTGAGGCCTGAACCACCAAACCCAGCTGGAGAAGCGTATTTGCTATGCCTTCTCCATTATCTCGACACGTGTCATTGTCCGTCCTCGACCGCCCGATCACGAAGTCCTCTTGTGCCTCTGCTTGACTTGGTCAACCGTTTTCTTGACTTGGTCAACAAGATACACTCCTCCACATGTACACTTGCTTGTTGATGTCCCCAAGTGTCAACCACCCATGGTCAGTCTTCTGGCCCCCTTGGTCCCTCTGTCTAAGCTTTATGTCTGTCCTTCACCGCTTTTGGTCCATCGGCATGATATGTCTCTATTTATCCTTCTCCATAGCCGTCGGACGTCTCTGTGCTCCACACCTATGCACCACAAGCCAAGAGGCATGTTGCACAAATAACACACTCAACGCAATGGTTAGTCTTCAAACTCAACCAAAGCTTGACCATCTTCTAACAATCATTCATCATCAACTCGACAAACATGGTGTCGGTGTTTTGTAAACCGGACTAGTAAATTTACACAATTGCCACGCTGCTCTAGAAAGACGATGGTAGCATCCAAAAGACATGAAGATTTATACTGGTTTAGGCCGGAGCCCTACATCCAGTCTTAGAGATGATCGAGTGCATGCTCCTCGCTTGAATGCTCTGAAGTTCTTACAATGGGGGTGCAAGAATAGTGGAAGAGGTTGGAGAGCTAGAGCTAGGAGTGGACTGCCAGAAGGGATGCTCTAGGAGCCATATTACGATGGAGAATGAGTAAAATGGTAGAAGATATCAGATAATGAATCGAGAGGATGCACTGGCTGCCCTTATATAGAGTTCAGGGCTAGTGCATGTACAGAGTAAGAGGTTCTCCCGACCGAAGGGTCGTGAGCCTGAGGGAGGAGCCTAGCTAACTTGGCTTCCAAGCTACGCCGTCTTGTGGAGCAGGTCTGGGCATGGTTGTCATCATGGTCTTGTGCCCATGTTGCGGCAAGGTGTGGCATGGTGCTACTGTGCCGGCCGTGGCGGCACTGTGGGCACGGTGGTGGTTCACTAGCCGTCCTATGCGACATGGTCTCCGTCGTGGCCTTTGTCATTGCCTCCTGTTCTCCTGGGGTGTCGTACAGGAGTTGGTAGCTGCCCCCAGGTCGTCGGTCACCTAGTTAGCTTGTGGAGTTGGTGTCCACGATCCTGAGCTTTGGGATCGTGGTTCCCATTGGCTTGGGTGGCCCCTTAGTGAAGGCCTCCATCGTGGATTCCATCCCATAGTGGGTAGAATCGTACATATATCTTGTTGGACCGTATTTGGACAGTGGGTAGAATCGTATACAAAGTAAGAGGTTCTCCCGACCGATGGGTCGTGAGCCTGAGGGAGGAGCCTAGCTAACTTGGCTTGAAAGCTACTTTGTCTTTGTGGAGCACGTCTGGGCATGGTTATCGTCATGTTCTTGTGCCCACGTCGCGGTAAGGTGTGGTGTGGTGCTACTATGCCAGCCATGGCAGCACTGTGGGCACGGTGGTGGTTCGCCAGCCGTCCTGTGCGACGTGGTCT